AAAGTAAATGCTTCTGGCGAGTTGTTGGGCTTCTATAGTCTCTATGTTAATAGAGTTAATTGCACATGTTGTCTTAGCCATTCTGGTTTGGCACCAGAATTCTGGTCAGTGTTGGTATTTATTGAGAAGCCAGCCGTTGTATGCTAAGAATGTGCTGCCTTAGTCATGCAGGCTTTTGCATTTCCTGCTATGAATTTTTGCTAGGCAGAGGCTTGTATGATGGAAGCACAGCAGCACTGCATAAAGGGACCGAGGTGGCAGTTCCATCTTCTGTAGTGTCTTCTAGCACCTGTTCAAACAATACATTTAAAACTGGTCCCTTTCTGCTGCTGAAAGGAGCAAGGTTAACATTCACATCCTTTCCCCCTTGTCCAGTATGTAAATCTGAGGGCTTTTGCTGGAACCATTTAACACACTGGAACCAATTGCTTGGCTCTGTTCTCATTCTCAAGTGAGCTGTGATTGTCTGCTGTGAGGCTCTGGTGTGCTACAAGAAGACACCTGCAGTGCAGATTCAAGGAAGTGCGCCAAGCCTTGCATTGCAAGCAAAAGCAAAAAATGAAATGGGAGTTTTGAAGCATTTCTAAGAAGACCATTGAAATAAAAGAATCAGACTTAGATTGGGTGCAGAAATTGGGATTGTCAGTAGTAACTGCCCACATCCCACCTCTCTCGAGTTCGTCAACTGGAATTCTACTTTCTTATTGGTTCGAATAAGAGGAAGGGGAAGAGGTATAAGTTGAAAAAAAGTCTCATTGGACATACATAGTTCTATGGCTTTATTTGCAAGATTTATACCCTGCCTTTCTGCCCTCATCAGGGCCACCAAGGTAGCAGACAGATTTAAAAACATAATTTTTTGAGTTGTGATTTTGTTAAAACCAACAAAAATTATTAAAGCAATTAAAACCAGAGCTAAAATATACTCACAAAAACATAAAAATAACAAATCAATGGGTAGGAAGGAGGAATCATGAAGGGAATGCCAAATGAAACAAAGTTTTCATCTGCTCACGGAAGATGGCAACAGGAGTGGACAGGCGAATCTCTCTGGGGAGAGTTCCAGAGTTTTGGTGCCATGTCTGAGAAGGCCCTCTCCCAGGTTGCCGTCCACATAATCTCAGAAGGGAAGGGTACCTACAGCAGGGCCTTCATAGTGTTTGGTAGGTTTGTAAGGGGTTAGGCAGTCCTTCAGGTATGTTGGTCCCTAGCCATACAGAGCTTTAAAGGTCAGTGCCAGGACCTTGAATTGTGCCAGTGTAAATGGGCCAAGAATTGGAGTGATATAGTCCCTGCATAGGCAGTTGTTTGTTTGTTTTTGCAGAAGTTGATAGGATAAAAAAGTTGTTCAGATGAGGTAAGTGGAAAAGGCATATGTTTGGTGGGCTTGTTGTATTCTATAAGAATTCCAGACGTGTTTGGAACCATTGTGGGTTAGATGGAGGTTGACAAAATGAGAGGATCAGTCTTGATCCAAAAGATCATGAGGAGATCCTTGCTTGTGAATTGCATCATTGCTGCCATTCCTTTCTTGCTATATTAAAAAACACAATCCCAAGCTGCTGTTGAAGGTTGGCTGGTACAGGTACAGCTGCACCAGCTACACTGGCTTCCAGTGGAGTACGAAGTCAAGTTCAAGGTTTTGGTATTGACCTTCAAGGCCTAGAGCGCTCAGGGACCAACATATCTGTGGGACTGTCTCCTCCATTATGTGCCCAGGAGAGTGGACAGCAATTTGCTGGTGGTCCCTGGCCCCAAAGACTTCCGGCTGTCCTCGACCAGGGTCAGGGACCTGCAGGATTTTATGCAATTCTGCCAGGTTTTTGGTTGAGGACAGTGATGGTTACCATATTGGCTGGCACCCTCTTCTGCTCTCTGTACTCCCTGCCCCTCTTCCAGCCCTGCCCGCGAAGTGGTCAGTAGTCTGTAATTGGAAATAATTGGAACTCGCCATCTGAGTCTTTTAGATTTGTGGTTTTAATGTTATTTAAATGTTGTATTCTATGTTTTGATTGTCACTGAACATTGCCCAGAGCACTGCAGTAGCAGGGACTGGGCGATCCATAAGTCTAACAACAACAACAACAACAACAACAACAGTAGTAGTAGTAGTAAAAAAGAATTTCTGTTCAAGCATTGTCTGAGCAAGGGGATAAAGAAAAGGTGAAAGCACTCAATTGCAATCCCCTTTCCCTATGATCAGCATTTATCCTAAACTATTTGTTTAATTAGGATAGCTTTCCTTGAAATACAGTAAAGTTCAGCATTACCTTGGTTCTCCTGGTTGGGAACTCTCTGCATTGTCCCTGGCTGCATGGACAAGGTGGTGTTCCTAGGTGAAAACTTAGCCCTGGCATGGCCTGTGGCTCCCTGGTTAGAAGCTGTAGAAGAGAACTTCTTTCTTTCTCCCTCTGAGAGGAGGACATCTTGATGGGTGTTTCCCATCAAGATGTCCTCCTTATCTCAGAGGAGAAGGACCCTTCATGATAATTACCAATGGCCCTTTCTCCCTCTGAGAGGAGGACATCTTGATGGGAAACACCCACCAAGATGTCCTCCTTATCTCAGAGGAGAAGGACCCTTCACGGTAATTACCAATGGCCCTTTCTCCCTCTTAGAGGAGGACATCTTGATGGGAAACACCCACCAAGATGTCCTCCTTATCTCAGAGGAGAAGGACCCTTCACGGTAATTACCAATGGCCCTTTCTCCCTCTGAGAGGAGGACATCTTGATGGGAAACACCCACCAAGATGTCCTCCTTCTCTCAGAGTAATTACCAATGGCCCTTTCTCGTGCCCTGAGTAGTTGTTGTTTTTTTAAAAGAACCCTCTGTCTTTCTACTCCCCCCTCCCACTTGAGGTGACATTCCTTTCCCAAAGCAAGAATGTACAGTCTCACAAATTGTCTGCTTCCTTCTGTGTCCCTAGGTGTCTCCTTCCAGCAGGGCGTGGAGTGGTCAATCATTGTCCTGCTTCAGCTAGAGTCATTAGCATAACCAAGAGTATTCTGTGCTTGGAGGGTGATGGCTTCGTCAGGCTCCCCCTTTCTGCCAGCTTCTTATTTCCAGCTGGGCTGCTGTTCATGGACTGATTGTGGTCCCAATGAGTGTAATGTCGGGTTGAATTCTTGAACAGTGGGCATTTCTCCACAGGTCTTGTGCTTTAAAAGAAAACATTTCTGCGTCACTTTGGCTGGCTTAAAAAAGTAACAAAACAGGTGTAAGAGCTAGATTTTATTGAACAGAGAAACATGTTATCGATGTTCAAGGTTCTACTTTCTGATGCTCAAAGGGAGCTACTCATAATCCCTCTCCTGCAAGAGGTTATTCAGATCTGTTGCTTGTCTCATCCTGTGGGCTTGGAACACGTTTCATATTTTTAGTATGCCATATGGTCCTATTCTTCTGTAGGTGGCATATGGAACAGTTTTCCCCTCTTCTCCTCAATAAAAGCTACAGAAGTTAATTTCAAATGAAATGGGAAATACTGTAGAACGTATAAGGCCCTTGAGGTGCAGTGAACTGCTTATGTCTGGCACGATACGATCTGCCTTTTTTCTTGCTGCATCCTTTCCCCCCCCTTCCCTGCAATACGGGAATCACTGACACTAGCATAGGTCAGTTCAATATTCATTTTGCTTAAGGAAAGAATAGCTTGTAATTCTTTCCTTGCTCTCTGGAGAAGAAAACTCTGCAGCTGTTTGCTTGCTTGCCAAGTTATGTACATTGTGCAAAACAGCACAGTACAGCTGCATTTTGGAGGTCTGTATTCCATCCAGAAGGGAATGGCTGTCCTAGATCCCAAATAGACTGGGACCAGCATATATTAAGAACCACTTACTCCCCATGAACCTACCTACAAAGTAAGATTTTCTGCCAAGGCTTTCCTGTGGTGTGTCCTTGTCTTCAGAAGTTAGGTGGGTGGGTGCTGAAGAAAGGGACTTTCAACTCTGCGGACAGGAAGGAAAAACAGCATATGCACTTGGGATGGTGTGCAGTTGGTAAGGGGTTCCCCAAAAACAGTTTCCCTCCCAGCTGGAGGTGGTCTTCTACTACATAAGGAAAGTACTTTGTCTAAGGTTAAACATGGCCCTGAGTCATAACTGCCAAAGTCTAGCTTCTACTGATTTTGTACTTCATGCATCATTTCAAACGACTATCCATCTGGCTGTGTTTAAGGGCAGCTGTGTTGTTCTTTATCTCTGCAAGGGGCTAGAGAAAGCTTTGAATAACTTACGTTTTCCAAGAGAGAGTAACTATTGCTTTCAGTATGCTTTGGGCACTGGGCACTAACTGGCCTACTTAATCTGCAAAGAACTTCCTGAATCGTGGTTTTCAGACTGTAGTATATCCTAGGTTAGCCTTCTGTCATGCCCTGCAACCTTGGTGGAAAGAGTCGATGGCTGCAGCTGGCTGCCTTGGTGTACCTCTGTACCTTTCGGCATTGGCAAATATAACTGTGTGATCCTGAAACAAAAGCTAAGGATGCTTGGTAGGATGTTGAAATCCAGGACTGCCAAGGTAGCTGGTTCCAAGTTCATGTTCAGTAGACAACTAAACAGGGAGGTTTAATATGTGGGTGAAATGGTGATGGGGGGTGTTCTGCACTTGGAATATATTAGGGCAAGTTGATCACTAGCACAAGATGCAGGCTTCACTTGAGCTGAAAGGGAAACAGATTGTGGATGCTCAATATCAACATGTCACAGAGCAGCTTTTAATTTACACTGACTTCTATAGGGAAAACTGAAGGGAGCTGGGGAGCTGTTTGGAATGACTCATTCCTAAGGGATGGTACAGTCTTAATGCTGAACAAGTATATAGTGGCCATTTCAGGAAACTGGTGGAATGGGGGGAAATAGTGGAAGATGGTGATCTCTGGATATGAAGACATTAGAGAGAGCATGAAGGGTACCTAGCAGGCAGTCTTGCTCTATGTGTCAAAGCAAGCACAGAAGTCAGTAAAGAATATTTCTTTTAAAATGTGCTTTTTTTGCCAGGTTCTGGAGAAAAATCCCAACACACCTATGAGCCATAAAGAGATCCTTCAGGTTATCCAGAAAGAAGGATTGAAAGAGATCAGGTGAGTGTTAATTGAACAATAATTTTAAAATTTATGGACTCATCCTATAGTCCACCTGTATCTGCTGTGTATCTGGTAGTGCCAGTTGCCTGATGTATCTCCTTAGTGTCATAGTACCATGTCTTGATCAAGACATCCACTTACTTAATAACAGCATCTCTAACATAATCCAGCATACAGTGAAATATGTATGGAATTATCTCTTCAGACAGCAGTCAAGCACTTGGCTTTGGCACTATTCATATTACCTCTGTGTGGACCAAACAGCTGTTCAATCTCTTTGTTTTAGGACTGTGGGAAGATAGGCTTGTAATTGTGGATGTCCCATGTTTACCCCGCCCAAGTAAAAGAATGTTATACGCTGTGTTGGGAGAGATGCTTGATAACAGGAAGAAGCTACTTTGCTGTAAATCCAGACAGAATTGCGATCACTCGTTTAACCACTCAGACTGAGTTGTGTGATGGCATCATTAAGTCTGTTCAGAGGCAGAGCATTGCTTCATTTGTCTATTGTGTCATTAGAACCAGGGCATTTGGTTTTGTGAACATAGTTTGCCATTTGGCTTATATCACTAACCTGGATGCAAATCTTTTCTGCTACTAGTAAGAAAGGTTAATTTTCAGACAAACATAGGGTGCTGAAATTGCTGAAATTGCAGCCCATCAAGAGAAATCAACAGTAGTGAACCACCTTGGAAAAATAAAACTTGCAGAAGAGAAGAAGAAGGATTGGATTTATACCCCTCAGAGCAGCTTACAATCCCTTCCCCTCCCCACAACAGACACCCTGTAAGGTAGGTGAGGCTGAGAGAACTCTTTTGAGGACTGCTCTTGAAGAAGCTTGGATTTATATACCACCCTTCACTACCCAAAGGAGTCTCAGAGCAGCTTACAATCCCTTCCCCTCCCCACAACAGAGACCCCGTGGGGTAGGTGAGGCTGAGAGCTCTCCTGAGAACTGTCCTTGAGAGAACAGCTCGGAAAGAACTTATGACTGACCCAAGGTCACACCAGCAGCTGTGCGTGGAGAAGTGGGGAATCAAACCTGATTCTCCCAGGTTAGAGTCCGCACTCTTAACCACTACACCAAACTGGCTACAATATTTCCAAAAAGCTCCCTTTTCATGCTAAAGTTTTTGGGGGGAACTTTTGATCCAGCCCTTGGTCATTGGTTTTTTTAAAATTATAATGCAACTTACCCTCCACCAAATGCTCTTTGGAATAAGACTGCCTTCCTAAATGTAGTCAATTAAGGTGCTCTCCTCACTCATTCTGAGAGGCCATTTCAAAGGGCTGGGGCCCACCACAGAAAAAGCCTATGATCTCTCTATAGCCATACAAACAGTCCTAAGGGAGGGCAGAGCACCTTAAGGAGAGGGCTGTTGGAAGAATGCAACTGAGATCCCTGGACTATGAAGGGCTTTAAAGGGAATAGCCAGCAGTTTGAATAGGCCCTGGAAATAGATAGCCAGCACAGCTGACTGAGCCCTGAAGTTACGTGTTCTGAGTGGCTGATCCCACAGTGAAGCGCTGCTGCTGCATTTCATAGCAGCTGGTGATTCTGAGATGTCTTTGAAGACAGCCCCACATACAGCACATTACAGTAGTCCAGTCTGAAGGTTCCAGTAGTATTGATCAGCATAGCTAGGTCAGCAAAGTCTCGAGAATGGCCAACTTGCAGGCTACAAGTAATTGAAGGAAGGCACTCCTAACAGCAGCCTGTTTATCAATTAGCAAGATTGGGTCCAGGAGCACCCCCGAACCAGATCTTAGCTGTATCTAAGAGGGTTACATCAGCACCAGCTAAGCATTTTGCCTTCCAGCCAGTGTCATATCTGTCTTGTCTGGATTAATCTTCAGTCTCAGACATTGGCAAAGGCACTCCAACTCCTTAATGCTCTTCTGCACCAACACCTTAAAGGTACAGCAACCAGAACTGAACAAGACTGCTTTTCATGCCCTCTCTTTTCCTACGTTGGAAGCTGCCATTAGAGTAATTGTTTTTGAAGTCTTCAAGAATTCAGTGTACTGGTTCATGTTGCTTGGACAAGCTGCATCTGTCAGGGCTGTGGAAAATACATACCTGGTCCAGTTCCTTGACTGTAACAACTTCCTGGCAAATATTGCAGTTTCTTCAGGAAATGGTCTATGATTGGTCACCTGATTCAGTTGGGAGCTCTGGTTCATGAAGCCTTCCTGAGATAGAACATCTGTTTTTATATCTTTTTTATCTTGAAAAGGCTTACGCCACTGCTTGGAAGTATGGCATCATCAGAGTCCTGTATAGATTTGGACTGAAGACATTTCCTTATTGATGCAGAACATTTGAAGAACAGTGTTCAGATTTTCATCAGTACTACCTATTATGTGCTGTTTTATGGGAAGAAGGCTGTGTTTCAAGGTGACTGTTCTCTGTGAAGACTAATGGAATTGCTTCAGCACTGCAGCCCACAACTGGCACTGTGTGGATGATTTCAAAATACATTACCCACGTTCCAGTACGTGCCTTACTGAAAGACAGCTGCAGCAAGTCCTTCAGTGCATGTAATGATGAGCTGTATCAAATGATTATAAATGCTGTCAGCCTATGTGTTGGGTGTTACAAGTCAAAACACTTCAGTATTTACAGGGTTAATGATGTTTGTTATGATCAACAGAAAGTCACAGTTTTGTTACCAATCTGTTTAGACAATAGAATGCCCGGGAACTTTGGAGCTAACTTGCTGGTCTGATTGGAAACCCATGTGTCAAGTATTTAGCATATTGGCTTCTCCTTCCTGTCTTTGTTCTGACTGAAGAAGGGATACTCCATTCTTCCTGCGTTTTACCTTTTAGCTGTAAGGATGTAGGCATTTTAGCTCTTTGTTATTTTATATCCTGTGTACCTTTTCCCATGTTAGGTTTATAGTAAACTTTTATATTTTAAACACACCATGGACTCAGTCTCTTAATACTTAGTCTGCTGACTTACTTAAAAGAATCCCAACACTATGACTGTCTGCACTTTAAGTCATGTCTTACACTGTGGTCTGGGAATCTAAATAGGACCAAGCAGACTCTCTAGTGTTTATAGAGATTAAATTCTTGGGGTTGGTACTGTTACTACCATGTATAACCCAGCTAAAGGTGAAATAAGCAAAGGCATCAAATATTCTTAAAGTGCTGGATTGCTCCAACCTGAAAGTGCCTCCGTAGTCTAATTCATTAGTGCACAAAGAAGCTCTGCTATGTGTAGCCTCTAGACAAATGCATACAACCACACAACTTGCCATTTGGTATACAGGGAACCCTCTGAATGATTTAATCCGAATCCTCAAATCATGTAGTGTAATGGCAAAAGCAGGAAACAATAATACTCCAATGATGATCAAATGAATCTTTTGAGAAACCAGGTAGGAAGCTGTCCTGGTTCAATTGAGAACTGGAAATGGGATCCATCCTCACCAGTACCTGGTGAAGGGGAAGGCCCTCACTGGTCTGTGTGCCTTGTATTGCTCCTGATTATGTATTGCTCAAGCGACGATGGGTTTCTCTAGTACCAAATTACTCCATGCCTTCAGCCAGCTGATTTTCATCATGTGAGCCTAGTTTCATTTCTGGATGAAGATGTCAGTTGTCATGCTTTCAATGTTTATAAATGATTGGCTGGCTGCTGTCCTTAAGACATTGGTTTCTGATTGCTGACAGAAGAATGGCTTGTGTCCACTGAATAGCAACTTGAAGAGTGCTGCGAGCAGTGTGATCCAATGTGGCAGGTCCTGGAAGCCGCTGTGCCCAAGGTTTCTACTTATGTATGAAAAACTATGCAGCCTGTCAAGTGTAGCAGTTCATTATTGCTTGTGCGCAAGCTGGGAAGCTGTTGTTTACACGCCTGTGATTTTTGGGAATGCTTTTTCTTATGCAACCCGTTTTGAAAAGCATGCAGGCTTCCATCTTGGTACTTACAAGGCTCCCCAGTCAGTTTACCGAATGAATGGTGAGTCTGATGTTCTTTGAAACCAGAATGCAGAAAAGAGATTTCTTGGCCACTGCAGAGCAGTCAGAGAACTCCTTTTGCAGTCCCTGGCCACCAAGGGAGGCCTGTTGCCTGTACTCCTCCTCCACCTCCTGTTCTTTTAGCAGCAGCCTCAGCACTTTTACTGCAGAGGTGGGGATCATTTCCCTGTTTTAAAAAAAGGCTCTTTATGTGACATCAACATGCTTTCTCTCACCCATCTGTACTCCACCTTCCATGAGTAAGTTGGCATAACCCTAGGATTTTTTCCCCTATAAAATTTCCCGCTTCAATGTTGTTCAAGAGTAGCAGTTTGGAGACTTAGTACAAAGTGATGCTATTTACCCCAAGTGCAAAATTTCACATGACTGTCCTAAAGCAGAGTGGGTTGTCATGCACCCCCCCAACTGAACTATTTCAGACTGAAATGCCTTCTTTCACCTGTGTGTTGAGGCCAGAAGATCAGAGAGATGAAGTATCCTCTGTTAATTAAAGCAGAATGTCTCATTGAAGTGCATTGTAAAGATGGCTGGGCTGATAGCAAATGGTACTGGTTGCAAAAACGGGGATATGTTTTTTATTCTCCCTGCTGGGTAATACAGTCTTACATGTGGGTGAGGAAACAGTGTGATAAGTCTCTGACAATCACAGCTACTCTAGCAAAGTGAGTTCCCAGGAGGAGACCATAACACTTCATAGCGTAAGAAATGGTTCTGATGTTGTTTCAGTTCTCTCCCATAAACTGCAGGATAGTCCTTCCTGTCTTGAAAGTCATCCTTAATGGACTTTATGGTTTCAGGGTCACTTGTGAAATTGACATATATTTGCTTGTCTGCCTCTCCTCCATTGTAATTTAGGAGGGCCGGCAGGAAGGAAATGGAGGGCTGACCTCCATTGCCTGTGCTGTCACCACACACAGGTAGCTTCACTCCCGCTCAGATCCTACCCTCAGCCCATTTGAAAATCACTGCAGCTGTGCTCTCTGAAAAATCTGATATGGACCATCTTACAACAATGTCTCAAGAGCTAGGTGCTGTGTAATGATTGAATTAGAATGCTACCTGCAGTTTACAATCTATAAAGACAAGGATGTAAAGAATGGTCATAAAATGGAAGGGAGAGGGGAGGCTGAGAGGGTAATCAGTGGAAAAATTTGTGAAGTATTGCTTTATTAAGTATTCAAAGAACATTCTTTCTCTTCTCTCCCATCCTTCTGGTTTTTCTTTTCTGGACTGCAATCGACTCCAGAAGGTAAGAATTGTTGCTGATGTTATATAATATAATTGAGCTGACATTGCCACCGATTAAGTTTAAGAAACAAGCCTGTTTTGCACATCTGCCTTGAAGCCGAATAACAGCAATATTGTTAGATTAAAAGGTTATATTTCTCTGTGTGTTCTGCCTGTTTGAGCCTGAAATTTGAACTGGTTTGAGCCTGAAAGCTAAGTTTGCTGCTGCTGCTGCTGCAGCAGCAGCAGCAGCAGCAGCAGCAGCAGCAGCTAGCCTAATGGCCTTAGAACAGCTGGTGTGTTCCTGCTTAACAAGGAGTTGCCTTTAGTTCCATTTGACCTGTGCAGTCATCTTCTGCTTTTGGTGGCTGGGGCTGGGGCTTTGCTCAGTGAAAGCACCTTAGCACAGGCCCTTCAGCTCAGATGATTTCATCTGATTAACATTCCCGGCTCTTCTGAGCTATCCTGTGTCTTGCTGTAGAAAGTTTTGACTACTCCATTAGCCTTAGAGGCATGTCTGATTCTGCTTAGCAACCTCCCAGTTCTAGAGTGTCACCAGAAAACATGAGATGCATCCCTGGAAGACTGATGCTTGTTCACTGATGGGTCTTGTGCTGGAAGTAGGTAGCTAGTTGTGCAAGCCGCTGTGGGTTTTATGATCATCCCCAACAGCAGTGAAGAGATGTGGACAATTCAGGTCCAGGCCCAACCCCCACAAACTTGAAGGGGTGGGTGAATTTCTTGAGTATGTTTTATCTCCCCCCCCCCCACACACATTCATATTATGATTTGGCCTAAATGTGATTATTAAGATCTCTGTACTGACTCCTTGGGTTCCTCCAGTTCTAGATGCAAAGGCTTCTGCTTGCATAGATGCTAAGCAAGAAATATGAATTAACCAAAGCAAACCTTAATACTGGATTGTAGGCCTGGCGGGATCTGGTCCATGGGGTCGCGAAGAGTCGGACTCGACTGTGCGACTGAACAACAACAACAAGTAGTAAGGACATGTGTGGGTAGAACCTAGCTTGCATATGAATCCTGGGTAGTGTTTCCTTATCTATCTTTGGTACTTGGTCAGCATTTTCCACATCTTAGGTCAAAACTTTCTGCATGTTGCAGTCAAACTTTTTGTACTTCAAGTACCGCCAAACCAAATGGCTTTAAAGCAATGCACAGGAACAAACCCTACTTTATTAGCTTTAATCACTTCAGTTGCTTTTTTCTTTGTTGAAATTCTCAAAATAATGTACAAAATACAATCAATGTTTAAATGTCATAAATCATTACAAAGGCCACATATAAACAGTGGCAGAAAGAGGCAGGTTGCTCAAATAGTGCTAATTTCCATGTTGAGATCTAATAAATGTTTCTTCCTTACCCACATAGAATGTGGCTTGCAATAGTGTAAACCTCTGTCTGGTATACAAGTTTTCGTTTGCCCTGGGGTCATGCTTCTCTGCTTGACATCCAAATGTTCAGCAGCCCTTAAGTGTCCACAGCTGAGCTGTGGTAGTTCTGGTTTTTTAAAGTGCTGTGGTTGTGGTATTCCAAGCCAGCATTTGTTGTTCAGTCGCACAGTCGAGTCCGAATCTTCGCGACCCCATGCATACCTTGAAGCATAATATCTCTTACCCGGCATGCTCAAAGGAATGAATCTCAGCAATTCCCGAAACTGCAGTGAGGCTTTAAAAAACATTTGAATTGACTTTTGATGGCTGGGAACTGGGTCGTATGAGGGTAGAGTTCCAGTGGTTCAAGGATTTCTTACTTTAAGCATGAGCTCTGGGGATTTGCCAGGCAACCAATTAAACAAAATACAGAGGGAGAAACTTTCCCCAGAAGTCCACCTTTTTGTTCTGTTGTCTGAATGCCAAGAGCAAAATTCCCTCCGAATGCAAAGAGAGAGAGAGAGAGATAGGGAGAGAATTTATCAGCCATTTGTGCAACACATTGGAATCTTTCTTTCACAGTTTGTTTAATTTACCTGTTGGGAGCATAGATTTTCACTCTAGAGGTTACTGGCAGTGTCAGCTTCAGAGTTCAGTAATAAATTTGGCCATATTTCTTAATCTGTTGGATTTCTTTTGGCACCCTGAATATGTTGGCTCCTTTAATGCCTGGCTTTCAGTTAAACAGGGAGTGAGGCATTTGAATCATTAGCAGCTGGCCAAGGCCATTTCAGGTGTTTCTTCACTGTGTTCTAAGGGGGCTAATCTTGCGATTCTGTTTTCAGTGGGACTTCTCCTCTTGCATGTCTGAATGCTATGCTGCACACCAATTCCCGTGGGGATGAGGGCATTTTCTATAAGGTCCCCGGGAGGATGGGTGTCTACACACTGAAGGTAAGTGCATATCTTGCTGGAAGTCAGAAATGGTTCTTGGATCATTTCAAAGCAGTAGGTGATTACAATTAGAGCTTCCCCAGTGGGGTTTATGAGAGTCTCTCTGAACATGAGCAATGTTATGGGCATGGAACGGCGGTCACTGGCAGTGTGGGGGGGTATTTGTGAATTTCCTGCATTATGCAGGGGGTAGACTAGATGATCCTGGAGGTCCCTTCCAACTCTATGATTCTAATGTTGTGTATTGGTTCTTGGCATAGGGACAGGCTGTGGCTCAGTGCTGGGGCATCTGCTTTGCATGGTTCAATTCCTGGCATCCCCACTTAAAGGAGATCAAGAGAGCCCGTCTGGTATAGTAGCTAGAGTTCAGGACTAGGATTCATGAGACTCAAGTTCAAATAACCAGCCTCCCATGGAAACTCACTAGGTAATCTTGGACCCATCACACACTCTTAGCCTCGCCTATGTCACCGGGTTGTTAGGATAAAACAGAGAAGGAAAGAATAGCACAAGCTACTTTGGGTCCTCATTGGGGAGAAAAATGGGGAATAAATGAAATAAGTAGATGACATGCACGTGAGACCCTGAAAAACAACTTCTAGCTGAGTAGACAATACTGACCTTGATGGACCAGTGGTCTGATTCAGTGTAAGGCAGGTTCATGTGTGGCCTTTGGACTCTGATGCTTTGTAATCATGGAATGTTAGCCTAAAGAAAAGAATTTCCAGCCCTAGAGGTTGGTCCCCAGTGCAGCCCCACCTAGTCATGTCATTTAAACCGCATTATCCATAGAGTGACGTTCACAGCTAGATTAATGGAGATTGGATTAGGCAGCGCACCAGATTTGTGGCTAAAATTATGCCCTTCACCTGATAACTTGAAAAAATGTTGTGTGAGATCAGTCTGGCATGTGCATGCTGAATACCTGTGAGCCATAGTATTTAATGTGTTGTCCTTTGACCAGGGGGACCTGGATTCTCTTTACCGGTATTAGGCCACAAAGCGCATTGAGAGATCTTGGCACACTCACCATCTCCAGTGGTCACCATCTCCTGTAGTCTGTACTTGGGTTTTTTTAAAGAGCTCTCAAAACAGCAGGCAAAAATGGATACATGCGGTTTAGGTAATACTTGATAGTTCAACAGTTGGGGAAGCTATACCCTCTTGGCTTCTTAGAAAAGATGTAAGAAATCAGGTGCCTGTGGTCTCCTTGGTAGGGGTGGGCACAGATCGAAACATCTGAGGTTCATCTGGGTCCGTAGTTCATGGGTTTTCTAGATGACGGACCATGAACTTTCATGGATTTTGGCCATTAAATGGACCAGTCCAAGTTCCATATGTCTGTGACTTTGGGACACACTAGAATGGTCCCTTCTCTGGGCTAGAGCTGCCAACCTCGCAGCGTTCCTCCGGCTGACTCTCTTCTATCTGCCCTCCAAGTTGCATGCAGTTTGGCTTGGGGGTGGAAGATCCTAGTTTCCAGTATGCAAAAGGGAAGGAGTTTGTCAACCTCCCCAAAAAGCTAGAGGCATGAAAGTCACAGTGAACCTCTCCAGGATTCTCCTCTACCTGCTGTCCAAGTTGTGTACAGATTGGCACTGGGGGAGGCCGAAAAGATACTAGGGTGCAGTGTGCAAAAGTGGAAAGAGTCTGTCACATGAAACCCCCCCCCCCCCAAGCTAGAGGCATGAAAGTCGCAGCGGACCTCCCCAGAATGCCCCTCTGCCTGCCTTCCAAATTGTATGCAGATTGGCATTGGGGGAGGGGGAAAAGATCTTATGGTCCAATGTGCAAAAGGGGAAGGAGTCTGTCAGATATCCCCCGGTTGCCTGACAATTAATGCCTTGGCCAGGTTGTCTGGCCCACGGACTGCTTCCACAGACCAAATGGACTGCCTGGAAAAATTCATAGTCCATGGGCGGTCCATTGAAAAGCACAATTGCATGGACTAGGGAAACAGTCCAAGACTCCCCCCTCCAGACCATCATGGATCTTGGTCCTTATTTTGGCTCATGCCCATCCCTTCATAACAACACTTGTGGCAGGGTACGAGCTTTCATGATCGCTGCTCACTTCTTCAGATACTTCTTCAGTTATCTGAAGAGGTGAACATTGACTTACGAAAGCGCATAGCATACCACAAATTTTGTTAGTCTTTAGGGTGTTACGGGACTCTTGCTCCTTTCTACTGTAGAACTAGAAGAGGGCAAAGTGGAGAAAAGGCATATGAAAAGGAACCATCCCAGGGCCATGGCTCTGTGGCACAGCCTTTGTTTGGCATGCAGTAAGTCCCAGGTCTCCAGTTAAAAAGGGAACAGGCACAGTAGGTGATGTGAAAGATCTCTGCCTGAGACCCTGGGGAGCCACTGCCAGTCCGAGTGAACAATACTGATCTTGATGAAATAAGGGTTTGATTCAGTATTAGGAGACTTCATGTGTTCATGTGTGCTAGAGTAGAGTAACATCCATGGTATGATGGTGTTGGACTACCCAGAGTCCCAGTCCGTGACTTTATCCACTACGACTGGCTGATAGACTGTTGAGTTACTGACAAGGTATTTGAGATGCATTTGAGAGGCTGTTCTCAGTAGCACATAAGAAGAAAGAGGAAAGTCAGGGCTTTTGGAGGGTCTCTTTGTTTCCGTGGAAGCTTACCGGGGGATCTGGATGAAAAGATTAGTGTTGATGGACAAGCTTTCAGCAGGCATTTTGTAATGCTTCGTAATCATGGAATGTTAGCCTGAAGATTTTAATTGACCATTGTCAATTAATAGCCTGATCCATTGTCTTAATAGCCTGAACAGACAGAGGCCAAACAAAGCCATATTGTGTGAGGCCCTGTTCTGCAAGAGCCCAATTCCTTAGCTTCCAGGTAAGGTTGCCAACTTCCAGGTAAAGCCTAGAGACCTTCTGCAATCACAGCTGATCTTCAGACTACATAGACCAGTTCCCCCAGAGGAAATGGCTGCTTTGGAGGGTGGACTATATGGTGTTTTGCCCCATCCAGGTCTCTCCCTTCCCCAAATAACTCCAGCCCCAGGTTTCATCCCCCCTGCAAATCAAAATATGTTCCCTTCTTTTTTTCTTTTTTCTTTCCCTTTTTCCTTATGGTTTTCCTTAATTTCGTTTTCTGTATATTTTCTTTTATGTATTTTGTTTAAAATCTTAATAAAATTCATTATGTAAAAAAAAGAAGTCCCTCCCCAAACCCCACCCTCCTCAGGCTTCACCCGAGAAGCTCCAGGTATTTTGCAGCTCAGACCTGGCACAACCCTATCTGGCACAGAAGCTTGCTGGGTTGACCTTGGGCTAGTCACAAACTTCAGCCTGCTTACCTCACACGGCTATTGTTGCTGTGAAAAAATGGAGGAGAAGAGGAGGACGATGTTACAAAGCTGCTTTGAATCCCAACCAGGGAGTATAGCGGGATGAAAAACAATAAATGCAAATACAGAAGGAACGTTCTGTGAAACTGGAGACTGACCAGTGATTGCAGGATGAAGATTCATATTGACTGTAGTCATGAAATGGCGCTAAAGTGATCCCTTTCCAAGAAGCAGTGCTGTCTGTACAATTTACATCTCACCCTTCCTCCAAGGAACTCAGACCAACATATTTGGTTCTCCCCTCCTCTGTTTTATCCCTACAGCAGCCCTTTGCATTCAGTCAGGCTGAGAGTGAGAGAGATCAACTGGCCCAAGGCCACGCAGGGATAGGGTGGCCAACTCTAGGTTTGGAAATATCTGGAGATTTTGGGGATGGAGCCTGAGTGGGGTGGGATTTGGGGAGGGGAGGGACTTCCGTGAGGTAGAAGAAGAATAAGAAGAGATTGGATTTATAACCCCCCTTCACTACCCAAAGGTGTCTCAGAGTGGCTTACAAACTCCTTTCCCTTCCCCTCCCCACAACAGACACCCTGTGAGGTAGGTGGGGCTAAGAGAACTCTGACAGAAACTGCTCTTTTTCAAGAACAGCTGTGCCAGAACTATGGCTTGCCCAATGTCATCCAGCCAGGTGCAAGTGGAGGAGTGTCACGGACTGGAATTCAGGCAGAACGAGCGAGAGATAGTCCAGGTCCAGATCAAGGTTAAAGCTGAGGGGTAGTGAGACAGGAACCGAATAACAGAGTCCAAAGCACAAACTGAAAGCGTAGTTGTCAAAGCCAAGGTCAAGGAGCCAAGAGTAAGCCGTGTAACCGGGAGATGTGTTGCAAAAAGAGCTGTGTGGTTTCCTGAGCTGAGGGAATCTTGGTGCAGGGGATAAAATGAGCCATCTTAGTGAAAAGGTCCACTACTACGAGGATGCAGCTATGCCCTCTGGATCGAGGGAGGTCCACGATGAAGTCCATCGAGATGGTATCCCAAGGCTGGGACAGTATAGGCAAGGGGTATAGCAGTCCCGAGGGCTTGGCTGGAGGTCCTTGGCTCGCTGACATACTTCACAGGAGCTTGACAGACCGGGTGACATCAGAGCGTACACGGGGCCACCAGAACTCCTGTGTCAAGAGGTGAGTTGTTTTGTGTTAACCGAAATGCCCTGCAGGGAGAGAATCACGGGTCAGATGCAAGAGTTCTGTCTGAAGGGGACCAGGTGGTATATAAAGGCGATTCCGGTGTAACAGGAGACCGTCTCGGGTGGTGAGCAATGTTCCCTCTAAGGTGTGCAGTCTCGTGAGCAGAAATTTTACCCTGTGAGCCAAAAATGGTGCTAGCTTTAAAACTGTGAGCGGGCCGACATTTTTAATTTTTTTTAATTTCAGTGTACAAACAGACAAAACATACAAACATAACATATTAACTATTATCATTTGTATTACAAGACATATATTTATATTAAACTTATTTATATGGAACATATTTGTATTACTTATATGACTCTTTCAAACTATATTTTAGAAATGATTTTTACATCATACAGTATCATCAAATTCCATTATGGAAAGACATTTAATTTAGCCTCTCTTCTTCCTTTCTCTTTTTTCCAATAATTGAAAACACTGT